ACAGTAAGGTGGCAAAATTTGCAGATGATACAAAACTACTCAAGATAAGTCTCAAGCAGAATGTGAAGAGCTACAAAAGGGTCTTCTCAAAACTAGGTGACTGGGCAACAAAATGGTAGATTAAAGTCAATGTTGATAAATGCAAAATAACGCACATTGGAAAACAGTGAAATGCAGAGGAAAGGTCTGGGGCTTAGGGCCCAGATCCACTACTGGCCGTAGGTAGCTGAATAACAGACAAGAGGGAGGTACCTAACTGCACAGAGATCGCCCCCCCCCCCCATCACTAGCCCCGTGGTCAGGGCATGTACCTGGGATGGCAGAGAACCTGCTTTAAAATCCCTTTTCCTCTCTTTCTGATTTGTTGGAGGGACCTAACCATCATTTGGTATTCTGGGTGGGGCTCTCTCAGTCTTCACTACTGAAGATGTTGCACTGTGTATAAATAATTAAATAGTCATTAAGCCAGAGAAAGAGACAAAGTGGGAGGCTGACTCTGTAGCCCAGTGCGCAGGGCATTCACTTGGGATAGTGGAGAGCCAGGTGCAAGTCGCTATTCCAACAGATATTTAATTAGGTATACGCAAACGGTGCAGCATCAACAGGGGAGGTTGAGAGATGGCCACCTCAGAGTCCCTGATAGTTTGTTGGGTCGGGAACTGTGGTTTCAAGTCGCTGCTCCAAATCAGGCAGAAGGACTCAAAGCTGGGTCTCCCACAGGAAAGGGCCCAAATTACTGGGCAGACTGGGACACATGCATGCCATCCCCCCTGCCCAAATTCTGGTTCTGCTTACCCTCACCTGTCTTCTATACCACAGCTGGCCCTGCAGGCAACATAGGTGGGACAGTGCCTACTCTGAGCATCATGGCGGGGCCTGCGTGTGAGTTAGCTCCAAGCAGTTTGGTTGTATCTTTGCAGATGCCTACTGGTGAAAACGTAGGCACCTACCACGTTAGATGGCAGCTGAGCAGGAGCTTTGTGAATGTCAGTAGCACTTGGACACCTCGATCTCCATTGTGAATCGAGCCCAGGGTACCTGATCCTTTTCCATGGAGCGAAAAAGGTTCACAGGAGTCACAGTGCAGGCTGGAAGCACTGCAGGGGCTGATGCCTTCCATCAGCACCAGCATCACCTCTCATCAGCTCCTCCCCTCTGTTCTGCGGGTTGCACCGATGACCTAAGGCAGCGACAGAACAGAGATGCTGCTGCCATACATATGCTTCTTGGAGCACTAGCAACTTAGGAAGGGCTCGGCAGCTGCATTATGTTCTCTCCTCAGTAGGGGCACAGAGCGGGGTTCCCTGCCTCTCCTAAAAAATATTTTTCCGTGGGGGGTTTGCTTTTGGTTAAATGGTTAAAGCCTGTGATTAACTCCACAGCCAGTAGCACAGATGTTTCAGGGTTCTCATAGCGTCAGGAAGCTTTCAGGTAGCCGGATGGGTCTTCTGACTTCCTTTCAGCATGTGGCTGTCCCTCCCCTCCTTCACACCAATTGCAGAATCCTGTTTCTCTCAACAGACCCCCTGTGTCCTGGCAGAGTGATAGGAGTGTGTTACCTGTTATAGTCTCCCTAATACTGCCCCGGGAATATTTTCTATCTATTCTGGGTTTTTCCAGAGTTGAGAGAATAACTCCAATACTAGATGAATCTAACCTGTTTCTTTTCTAAAACAATCTGCCAGAGATGTTATACTACATGGCAAAAGAGCAACATGTGAGGGGAAGTAGAAAGAATGATGAATCACACAGGAGTTAGGGCCTTGTGTTTAAGTGGACTTATTAGGCCTTGGACAGTTGAGATGCTTTGGAGAAGTGGCAAGTTCGGGAAGAGACTGAGGTGGGTTTTATTTTCCCATTTTTACTCCAGCCAGCGTATGTTGCCTTTTGGAGTTTGTGTTGGTTGTTGAAGCTGTAATAAAGTTTTGGACACAGACAAAATGATAACAGTAGTGTCCCCCAGTGAATCCCTGCCATTTCAACTGAGTTTATAAAGGTCAGTGGGAAAATAATAAATTATTAGCACCACCCCCCATGGTCCACTTATGTATTTTATCCCATAAATCAGACTGAAATCAATGGCAAAACTCCTATTGACTGTCATTGGAAAGTATTAATAGCACTAGAAACCTAGAAAGATTCAGCTCTAGTAAATTCAAATTCGTTACTCTAGCAACCAAGGTTTCTGAACATTCAAGTAATTCATTCAAATTTAAAAGTGATTTTTTTTCTTCAGCTCTGACTGTGTCCCTTTTGCATTCATTTGCTGAGAGCATTTGAATAATCTCACTTAAATGTGCCCAGAAAGCAAATATTTAGGTACGTGCAAGCTTTAGTATTCACATCTGAAGTAGTATCCTTTACATGGTAATGGGAGGTCAGGGCTCCCAAATCCACTCACCAGAACCCTGACATGAGGCAATTAAAGCAAGCAGGCTAGGGTCTCACAGCTCCCTTAGCAACTAGCATCATACTGGCATACACAATTACTTTGTGCTGTTGGTGACAGGAGGGGATAGACCTCTGCATGGCATACTCTCTGGATATTTTATAATCAGAATAATACCTGACATAGCTGCTGTTCAGTTTTTCTGAAAGCCCTCATCGGAACTTTGGCATAAGCACAGTCAAAACAGCCAGACAAAGGTCTGGCTGCACCCTTTGCCAACAGGAGGACACATGTATGTGCTTAGGTGACTGTGATGAAAGAAAATTAAATGTAAACACTGCACATGGCTAATGGATGTTACAGTAGCCTGTTTTTCTAGGAATGATGGGTCAGGCAAGGCTTGTGTGAATTAAAGGGTTAACGTTTTCTAAAATGACCTAATCCAGTATATCTGCTACGCTTCCTGCATCACTCACTCTTCCTAAAATACTCACAGCCGCACTAACTTCTTCAATCCCTCTTCTAGACTGAGACTCCAATCCAATGCCCGAGAAGTCAATGGGAATCTTTCCATTGACTTCAATGGATGTTGGCTTGGGCCCTCTGAGAATGTCTATACACTACACTGTGCATATCATGTGAGTAACCACAACTAATGCCCATGTTCCTCAGCTGCTTATGGCCATTGTCACAAATTACAGTAGCCCATAGTCTGCTCCAGTACATCAGGAACTCCAACCTAATCTACAGTCACCTCAGGACTGAAGAAACCAATAGGCACGAGCTGCACAAGCTCTAAGACACAGCCAACAAGGATCTGGGCTTTAGAGTCCAGAGAACAGCAGCATGGACTGTCACACAAATGCCACTTTTTTTTCAAGGAAAAAAACCATTTGTGGAAGTTCTGCAACTGTTAGTTAATTAAACACCATTCCCAGAATGCTATAGGTAGCATCAGTTTACCAATAAAGAACTATGCTAATTTTATATTCACTCAGAGAGGTGGGGGAAGAGGCCAAATGAAAAAGGACAAAAATCATCAGGGAAAGAAAATTTATTTCCAAGCTTCTAAGAGAGAGCTACAAACAACAAAGACTAAAAACCAAACACTTAAAACTATTTTTTAAAAAATTAGTTGACAATGTCCTTTTAAAAAAAAATTAAACATAAATGTAGAAAATGCAGTTGTTAATTCTAAAACTTGCCCAATAGTGAAATAAAAACACCAATGATAAGGATGGAAACTCACCAGTAGTTTTATTTTTTTCTATGTTAATTTGTAAATTGTTATTTTTATTATTAATTATTATTATAATTATTTAAATTTATGTTGGAGAAATGTGCAAATCTAGCAAAATATTCTTTGGATTATAAACATAGAAAAATCAACAAAATTAACAACTAAGGAAATCTGAACGAAGTTAAGAAGTAATAAACTATGGAATTATATAGATATGCATATAATAAAGTGAAATATTACAATAAAACATTGTAAGTGAATTTGCTTCTTCAGCAAACTAAAATAGGGTTATAGTGGGAAAAGTGAATATTTTATGAATATATGCCTGAAAATATATATATCTTGTGAATTTTTAATAGTTAGATTTAAATTTAACTACATATTGGGATTTCAGGTAAGGAATACAGCAAAAGAAAAAGATTTCCTCTAAGGTTATGCAGTTTGGTACCTGACTGCAATTCAAGGATGGGATTTCTAAAATTAAAGATGGAAAAATTTATATCATTGCTATTTATTGCCTCTTCTTATATTGCAGTTGCTGATCGCTGACCCTTACCAGCAAACTGTATTAAATTTAGCAGAATTACAGCTGCACACAGATGTTGAAAATGTTGATGCACAGAACATATTTTGGTCCCTGGCCCATTCCAAACTAATATAAAAAAGGTTATAGATTAATTTTACTAGATTAAAAACATATATTACAAAGACCAACTCTGAAAGTACTCAAGATTTTGCTTATTAAAATTAAAATATCTTGTTAGCTGTAGATTAGGCAATTCTACTGACATAAACTAAAAACATTTCTAAATACCAGAACCATAATTAATGTTCAGGTAAGGTAATTGTCAGGTAGAACAGTCTTTAGGGAATTCCTAGCTAAAGTGGGTCAGATTTAAGTCTTTTGCAACTCGCAGAGTTTAGTAAAGATATTATAATTAACAAGTGTGGAATATACTGTAAGTACAGTGTACTCCTGTTCATGTATGAAGTTGTTTCTGAGATCCATGGACTTTCTGGGCTATAAGATAAATGCATATTACATGGGAAATATTTAAAAGGATTAAATGTAATTTACTCCCAGAGTAAGAATAACTTTGTATGAAAGGCGTTACTGTACTCTGGGAGCAGCCACAAGCTGTAGATAGAGAGGGTATAAAATGTTCACCAGACACTACAGATGCTTATCTAAAAACATTCGTAAAACATCTTTGATTTTAAATAATCACTTAACAAGGCAATAAACCAACTACAAACACATAATAAATAGGGCTATTAAAAGGTCACAATTGTAGTAAATTAGTCAGAACTATAAATGGAACATTAGAAACACTACATGTTTTCTTAAATGCTTAATAACCAAAACAAGAATTAAAAAAAGAATCATTTTATTTCAAAGTCTGCTTCTTATATTGAAGCACATATTAAAGCAACAGTACAATGTTCATAAAATATAAGTGTGATGCTGTAACATTTCTTACATGTCAGAATACTGATATTTGTATGTATACTAAAATAAGAACTTTAAAATTGTACAAATAGATACATTAAAAATGACATAGAAATAGGGCGCCTCCCACTGCAACAAGACAGAGTTTTATATCTGGCACGTATTAGTTCAAGATGAAAGTATAAGCAAAAAGATTTACAAGAATCAGCGGTAACAAGTTTGATGCTCAAGAGACATTATAATTGTACATTGTACTGTACATACATCATATGGGCTTAAGCTGGCTGAATATTATATATTTCAAGTTTAAAAATGCACTACATATACGAGTGTCCATAGTTTAAGGCGAAATTACAGCTCAGAACTGTTATCTTTTTTCTAATGTGTGGAAGCTTCTTTGACATAAAAGATTTAGATGTTCATAATACATAAAAGATTTCCCTCATTTGTAGGTTCACTTTTAGAATTTTCCTTCCCTTAAATATTTTGTACTTCATAAGTGGTTTTTTTCTCTAGTGAAGTTGATAACCAACTTCTATATTTGCCTTTTGTAAGAAAAGGTACTTCACAGTATTTACCACTTTTATGTCCTTTTCATTATTATTAAAGGAATCCTCTTTGTCAAACTTAAATGTTTAAATGAGCCTTTTCTTGATTTTTAAAAAAATACCTGCTTACATTTCTTCTGTATTCTTCAAAACATCAGACACAGTTCTTAAGGCCAAATTTGTAACTTTATTGTTAAGAATCATCATCAAAAGTGTCTTTGGAACCATACAAGTCTGCTAGTTTCTTAAAGCGAGGTCCCCAGTTTTGTAGATAGTCATAGTCCAAATCAGAATCTGTTGTCGCTGACTCTAACGAGCTAAGTGAACCAGCCACTGAGCCTCTTCCTTCATAGCCATAGATCTGAATAGAGTCATAAGGAGGAGCAGTTGGATCATTATCAGCCTCTTGTATTCTTGTGTTGATGAAATCATCAACATCAACGCTATTAGGAGCTGGCCGAAGCCCTGGTCTTGGCATATACTGATACTCGGGTTTTATGTCTTTACGAGGAATAAACCCATTGATGCCATCAGGGTTCTGTAAAGTAGCAATGTCGAAGGCTTCAGTGTCTTCCTCTCCACCACCTTCATCATCATAAGTTATAATGTTCTCTCTGACATCTTCTTCTTCAAAAACAATTAAAGGTTCTTTCTTCTGCCTTTTCAGTGTTACAAATAACACTACAATGACTACAGAAAAATAAAGAATATAAGTTAGGTTAATTTCCAAGCAAAGTCTACTTTTATAAATGATTTTTCTCTAACGAGAAAGATCACTCATTGACTAAAGCATATCACATTCTTGTCATAATTATTACACTTATTATTAGCTACTCTTGATGGCTATGAGACACAAAGTTTGGGATATTTCCCTAGATCTGAGGGGTTTCAGTTCCAAAGTTTTGGATCAGGCCCATTTGTTGCTGGGTACCAGTGCTTATTACATGATTACTTTAAGTCTTTGATTTGGGTACCACACTGATGGACTCCTAGTCTGCACGGATCTCAGACCACAGATCTGTGACTGTATGGGAAAGCCAACTATTCAGAAGAAAGGTGGTCCTGCGTGAGAGATGAAGCCCAATCAGCTGCATGACTGCCAGGTAGAAATGAACTTTGATATCCTGCAACACCCAACACTGAATTCTAATTCCACACCCTGCTGCCACAATGAAATAGGAATGATTCTAGCTCCAGATTTCAATAACTTTCCTTTGATAGCATGAATAGGTGAAGGGACAAAGGCAAACATGACCTGTTCTCTGTCACTCATTTTTTAAAAAAGTAAATGTTGCCTTGTAGAGTCATCCAGTGATTTATATAGATACTTTGAAATACTCAGGACATTTATGGTGCTTTACAGCTCTTCTCTCAATGGCAGGTCTTCTAAGTCATCAGTTTGTCTTTACTTCCCCTTCAACACTAGGGATGTTAAAGGCAAAGAGCTGGCGTGAATTATTATTCTAGGCTGACCTCAATAAGCAATGTATCATTCAGCGAAGGGCACGAAACCAAAAACTTTGTGTCATGGAGTTAGTATCACTCTCTCAAGCTGTTATATACAGTACTTTACCTGGGCTTACTCAGGGTCTCAGCTCTAGTGAAAGGGAAGTGAAGAATACTAAATAAGTTCATCTTTATGAGGAAACATATAGTATGTCCAATGTGGCCAAGTTAGGGTTAACATTCAATATAATCAAAAGCAGATAAACAGGTAGGGAATTTCCTTACCTAACAAAATCACAATGCAAGCGAGAATGGCAATTAAAGCTCCAGTGCTAAGTCCCGCATTGAGGATGTAAGCTTCAGCATTACATGAGAGCAAGGAACCATTGCTGTCACAGCCACAGACTCGAATAGTGAGGGTATTGGTGCTGCTCATTGGAGGGATTCCACCGTCACTTATTACAATAGGAAGAAGGTATAAATCCTGCTTTTGTCGACTAAAGCCGCCACGTCTAACAAGAATACTCACTGTATTATCTGTTTAAACAAACAAGACAATCTTTAATCACCCAATTTCTTCTCAGACTCATCTTCTTCATAAATATTGAGAAACTGCATTTTGCTACAATTGCTTTGACTGTTTTAATGCTGTATTTATATGCAGTAAATTGATTGTTCCATTTCTAATGACACATGCAAAATTAAATATCATTGTTCCTATATACGGTACTGCCCTATTTATTTCAGTTATTCTAGGGTGTGATACGGAATACAAAGAGTACAATACACACCCAGCCTTTTTTGGTTGCATTTCACATTTATTTTCCTGCTTAAATTTACTCTCATTTACAATTTCTGTATATCTGTGTTCACCTTTTAATGGTCTATCATAAGGGAACAGAGCGCCAAAAGGAAAATCAAACCATTTACTTATAAGGCAAGAGTATTTATGACAATTTAAAAGAGGTTGCAGATACTGCTGAATGCTTAGATTATTAGGAACATATACATCAGCAATTCACATGTTTTCTGCAACAGTGAGTACTTGCTAAAAACAGCATTCATGACCAAAAAAAAAAAAAAAAAAAAAGGATCCGATCATACAAACAATTACTGCTGGCCGTGGTGCTCAGTATAAAGAGTAGCCATAATGGACCCCACTGGGCAATTCACAGTACTGTGCCAAGTAGTAAACATCTGTAGAATTAGGCCTTGACATTGTACCTATGCTAATTCTGAGCCTGACCCAAAGCTAATCCGTGAACTTAGTATCAGGTCCTTTGTACTCAGGCTATCACCTTACAGAATTATGAAGATTAGATTTTATAAAGTTTTTGCCCAAAGATATTCTTATAGGAGTGCAATTCCCACTGAAATCAAAGGAATATGCACACAATATCTCATGGCAGAATTGGTCCCTGATACTCCACATGGCCATTTCACTAGAACATATTTAAGTAAACAATATTTTGACAATAAACATCTCCTCAGCACTCTGATCCCAGTAACCAGAAATCTTGAAAGTGTATATTGATATAAGATGCTTCTTAGTGTATGTGCACCGTGCCTTGGGTGGCACGTGACCAAGGTTCATCACTGAATTTGGTCTACTGCTTGGATCATTAGTTTCCCCGCTTGGGCCAGGTACTGATGGGGAGTGCGACTTGATTGCTGAGCCAGGCCCCCTATAAAATGCTTGAACACACACAGTGAATTACACAATGATGCTAAAAATTAACAATTTTAAGTGGGTTTGAAGCCATACATTACACTGAAAACTTGCTTCTTACTTTCCTCTTTATCCAAGTTTCAGTTTGGATAAGTGTTTGGATTTATTCAAATTCCTTAGGACAAAAAAATTAGGCAGGAGAGTATGTAAAAGGAGGCCTTGTGATGAGTTTTCCAGTGTTTCCTGTTTCTGCTCAGACTGGAAATACTATGAAAAACAAGAACAGTGCTTCTCTCTGGCATTTCTTGGGCTGCCAGACCCAGGACACTCAAAACTCAAAAACACTGAGGTGAGTGGAAGGAGAAATTTTATCCAGCTTTTTCAGATCCCCGGAAAAGTTTGGTTTGGTTAATGTTCAACTCAGCTCTCACTTTATCCAAACATCTTCACTTTCTGTTTCTCACTTTTCCAAAAGGAAAGAAAAATGAAAATAGGATGATTCTTTTAGTCTTCTTTTTTAATCAGGACAGGTTAGTCACCTTCTATGCCATCCATTTTGCTGCTGCTTTGGGATTCAGCAGGGTGGTACAAATCCTTTTCCTACTGAAAACTCTGCATAAATTCCAGAATAATGTGATTCATAACACTTCTTTTAATGATCTGACCAATGTTATTTCCAGAGAAACCTGTGAATAAATTAGACCTAATGGGGCAGAATCTTGCCTCCTACATTCAAAGCCCATGCAGGGGGACATTTTGGAAAAAAAATCTCCACGAGGATTTCCCTGTGGAAATCTCCCCACATTGTCCCATGTGCTGAACAATGTTTGCTGCCACCCCAAACCTGGTGGATATGCTGGAATATGTGGGAGGTTAGGGACATATCTGGACCTAATATGGACTTCACCCCAGATCTCTGGAAATCTGACTGTATTACAAAACAGCACGATAGTTTTGAATTTTGACAGTAACTGGGCGGTAATGTTTTGCTTGAGACGGAGAAGATCATAGAATCATCGACCCACAGGGATAGAAGGAACCACAAGGGTCATATAGTTTAACACTCTGCCAAGATGCAGGATTTGTTGTGTCTAAACCATCCAAGACAGATGGCTAATACGGACTCCTTTTGAAAACCTTCAGTGAAGGAGATTCCATGACTTCCCTAGGCAGTCTGTTCCCCTGTCCTACAGTTCTTACTGTTAGAAAGTTTTTCCTCAGCTTTAATCTAAATCTTCTATGCTATAGTTTGAACCCATTGCCTCTCGTCCTGCCCTCTACAAAGGAGCAGCAGCCTTTTTAGTATTTGAAGACCACTATCATGTCCCCCATGAATCTCCTCTTCTCCAAACTAAACATACACAGCTCCTTCAGTCTTTGCTCATGCGGCTTGCATTCCATCCCTCTGATCATCTTTGTCACTCGCCCCTGGATCCTTTCCGGTTTCTCTACATCCTTTCTATACATTGGTGACCAAAATTGGACACAGTACTCCAGCTGAGGCCTAACCAGCACCGAACAGAGTGGTATTACCACCTCCTATGACTTGCACACTATGCTTGTGTTAATGCAACTCAACATTGCATTTGCCCTTTTTGCAACAGCATCACACTGTTGACTCATGTTGAGGCTGTGATCCATCAAAACTCCCAAAGTCTTCTCAGCAGTGCTGCTGCCAAGCCAGCTATCCCCCATTCTGTATTTGTACGTTTCATTTTTCTTCCTGAAGTGTAGCACCTTACATTTGTATGTGTTGAATTTCACTTTGTTGTCTGAGCCCAGTTATCCAATTTATAAAGATCCCTTTGATTTTAACTCTATCATCTAAAATGTTGGCAACCCCATCTATCCTTGTGTCATTTGCAAATCTAATCAGTATGCTCTCTATTCCTACATCCAGGACATTAACAAAGATACTAAACAACACCAGACCCAGAATAGATCCCTGTGGAACCCCACTTCCAATCTGCTATCATTCCATTAATAGTTACTCATTGTTTAGGGTTGTCTAACCAATTATGTATCCACTTAATGGTAGTTCCACCAAGCCCATATTTCTGCAGCTTTCTTTTCAGAATGTCCTGTGGGACTGTGTCAAAAGCCTTGCTAAAGTCCATGTATATTATGTCCACCATATTGCACCTATCCACAGTTACCCTGTCAAAGAAGAAAATCATGAACAAAGACGTACAAATACAAGGTCTGATTTTTTTTAGTATTCGTAGCTTTGCTAGATACTGTTTAATCCATTTCAGAGCTCATTAGTGCTGCAAAATATTTACACTTTATCATTTTATTAGTGGCAGTGTCTGTGTAATAGTCTTAAAATTTCATGGGGTTAGAATGTGGTCATAACAATTTGCTGTCAGTTGAAATGTGGCATCCGATGTGTATCAGCCTTGTTTAACTCCTTTTTACATTTTTTAGTCTAAAAAAGTATCAACTAATATTTAGTCTAATGTACAGTATTTTCCACACTAGGAATAATAGTCCAATTCTTCTCAAGCAACCAAATAAAAGATCACAAGATGTCAGATCATCTTCATGGTGAAAGAGCTTGCAGACCGATGGATGGGGCGGGGGGAGGCAAGAGGGGGTACCTCTCCTTCAGTGGATGCAGTTGTCCCAAGATTCCAGAAACAGGACAGTAGAGACTTTAAGAGCCCTGCTTCCAACCTGAACAAATGCCAAAATGGTACCCTGTGGACAATCAAAACTCTGACAACTGATAACACCTGATTGTCTCATTACTTTTCTGATTTGATTACCTAATGCCAAGATCACAACAATTTAATTACCAAACAGATCTGCCTAACCCCAAGCAAGCCTAAATCTCCTTTCCCTAGTATGTCATAATGTGAATTGTTTAGACTTAGTTACTTCTTATTAGCAGAAAACAAACAATGTTTCAGACAATTTAGGCAATCTTATGTTTTTCCATATTTGACCAGTGATCAAAAGCAAAGATTTGGAATTTGCAAATTTCATAAAAGAATTGAGTGAATGCTTAAAATAACTCAAAGATACAGTAATGCCTCATCAAAATAGTTTTCAAAACTATACTGGGAGCCACACACTAGGGATTTAGGAAAACTCTGATGCTCTTTTAAATATTTTTTTAACAGACAAAAAGGAAAGCCACTCAAAAACACCATGTGAAATATTATGAAGTCCACTACCAGTCACTTCTTCCTCTGCTCTACTTGTGACCAACTCTAATATCCAGAAACAATATAATGTCCAAAGGAGACAACAAAACCTTAACCTCTCAGGATAAAGGTAACATATAATCCAGTGTAATAGTTTCATCCTTGCTTTTTCATCATTTTCATGCTCTTTGATTCTAAAACAGAGCCTAACTGTAATCCGAGTAAATGGTATTAGGACGAGAAACAGACGTTAAATATCCATGCCAGGTTAAAGTTGGATTCTTTACTCATTCTGCAAGAACCATATTGCAGCTGCTTGGCTGGCAATTTGAAGGACTAGAATGTGCCACAACACATTACAGAAGGAGGAAAACATCCATCCCAAATATCTTTGCAGTCCATTCTGGAACATATATGTTTTCATTTTTCCAGTTGTTATTCTCTGGAGAATCCCTCTAGCTAGATATTACTTCAGGTGAATAGATCACCAATGCTCTTTATGAAATGGCGGGCATTCACAGATAAAATTTTACCATATCCACCAATATTTATTTTTCCATTTTTGATTTTCTTCTTTGCTTCTTGCGGTCTTACCAAAGCTTTCGAAATTTCTTTCTCCATGAAGGTAGCTGTTGCTTGGTTTCTATTATGTTGTTTATATGCACACCCAGAAATGCAAATAGTTTGATAACAGAAGCTTATTGCAGAGTGAGTATTGCGAGTGCTGCACCAGAGGTGAAAGTGTTGACAGAGCAGGGAAGACCAAACAGACTTCTGGTTGTAATTGCCTAGAATCTGTATCAGGCAGTGATTATTACTGAGTAAAATTCCATGGTAAGAAACAAAGGAGAATTGCACTGGAGCCCATGTCTATTACTGAGGGCCTCAAAACCCATTGATCAGACATGTGGCACTGAAGATCAGAGCATGTTGCCATTGAAATAAAAGGGAGGTAGCCACCTCCTTCTGTGGCAGCAGAACTGGACCATGAGTCTTCCAAAAGTCGTATCTTATATTTGTACATTCCAGAACATTATATCCCATCAGTGGCAAGCATTAAGAGGAAATTCCCCCACGTCTAAAGGGCCCAACATAAGGCCAATGCACCAGTTTCAGACCAGCTGGCTTTGTGCTTGACTCTGCACAGGGTGAAACTCTGCCTAACAGTACCTCAATGCAGGATGGAGCTGGGATTAAAATAAGGAAACACGTCTATTAATAATCTGTCACTTTTTTTTCTTTTTAAAATATCACGGACTGGCTACTGCTCTTTTTGAAGTCAATCTCTAAACACACACTGACTTCAGCGGAAGTAGGATTGGCCACCAAACATATACACAGTCTGGGAAAATAAAGTATTGTTTATTTACATGGTATAATATAAGTAAACACTCAGAGCAAAAGTAATTTGATGCTGTATCACAGCATGAGATACCCCATTATCTCATGTTTTCTATGGAAAATAGCCTGAGCTGAAAAACTTGGTAACACAGAAGGCTTTTAATGGGATGTAGAATGTGATTACTTTTTTCTGGATTACTGCAATATGTAATTACTTTTTGGAGTCAGTAGAAAGAAACTGTATTAAACGATAATTATAGGACTGTATTCACTTTAAAGTTCTGTGATAGACCTAAACATTGGAGTTTTCATTAACTGTTCTCCAAAGTTAATAAAGCCATTTTTTCTTTGAAACTAGCAATTCCCTGTGAAAGAGGTGGCATGATACAAAGATTACTCTGATTTACAAATGAAAAAAGAAATTTTAAATGATTACATAAGTTATTTGATTTGCAAATTGTAACACACTTTGAAAAGGTTTACTATCCAGAAGTACAATTTTAAGTTTTTCACTTTCATCTCTAACTTCACCTTTTTTAATCAGAAAAGAGTTAAATTAACCATTCTGTTCAATTTGTCTTATAAAATTTACATGAATAAATTAAGGAATGTATGAAAATGATGGAGAGACAGTAAAGTATGAAAAAGTAAAATGAAGGAAGGATTTCATTATACTATGTATCCTTTCTATAATAGAAGTATATGAACAGAGATTCAAGTGACCTAAAACATCATTGTCTTGTTGAAATAATGTATTGCAGTGGTGTCATATAAAGGTACAGTATTCAGTGGACTATCTGCATTTCCATTATAAAACCCTTATTTATCTGGGATAACTTTTTCATTAAAAGGAAAAAAAAAGGAAAGAAAGAAAGATTACTTTGATGCTTGTAGAAATGAAGGACTAATAGAACTGGCTCAAACCAGAGACTATGCTAACTTCCTCCTGAAGCTGTTTCAATGTATCTCTGACATGGGATGCCCCTGCAATATTAGTCCTGAACCTCTCTTGAATAGACTGCAAGTTATACCAAATGGTGCCAAACTGTGTGGTGGGTTTCTGATACACACTAATATCCATTAGAGATTTAGCTGATATTACCAAATTCACTACTAATCTTAGTTTGAAGCTTGGTCTCCCAAGGTGAAAGGCTAATTCATTATCTTTCTATGCACTCTAGCCTTGGTTGATATACTGCCCCTAAAATATCTTTCATGGTGAAACATAGCCTAGAAGGAAAAGAGCACATTTTCATTTTCTTTTTATTGATTTACTTATTTTTTCTTTAAAATATATGCTTCAAACTAATTGTATGCTCTTTTTTTTCTTGCCTTTTTTAAATAAAGGAAAGTAAATACAACTTTCTATGGGGTCCTTTACCCACTTCATTTGAGTTTACAATTGCGATGTTGAGGAACCTAGATGTAGATATTCATATTACTTTTAAAAAAATGCATCAGAAATTTGGCCAGGGAGTTCTGATAGTACTCATCTTTTTCTTCAGTGTTCAGAAAGGAAGAAATCATGCCAAAATAATACAGGAAGTTTTGTAAATATTATAACATTTGAGATAAAAAGTTCATGTTGGATGTAAGTAATCAGACTCTGTTCTCTTTTATCCTGATGTCAATCTGGAGTAATTCTGCTCACTTCATCATTTAATCAGTGCAATTGAGATCAGAATTTGGGAAACAAGCAAGTTTCTTCTCAAGTATTAAAGCTCATTTTTAATAAACAGTTTCCTGTAAGTTTGAACAATTTTGCTTTTACAAGGAAATTACCATGTTAAAATGAATTTGCTAAATACTTATTATTACAAATGTATTATGCTCTGTGCACTATTGTAATTAAGCAATTAGCATAGAGATATTTATAGAGACTGGATGTGCCTTTGTTCTGTTTCTCTCTCCCCTCCTTCCACAACCTTCCCATGGAGTGTTTGTTAGGGGTCACATTGCTAGTCCAGGACTGATGGTGTCACACTGGGAGATTATGTGGGATTGTGGAAAGAATAGGTTACTAATATCTGGCTCCTGAGGATTTCTCTCATCTTATTGTGGCTAATGTGGATACAAAAACATCCCACATTTTGTGCATTGGAGGTTGGAAGTAGAAGCTGGATTTTGTGACTGGTCCTCATCTAGATAATGAATCAGACTGAAAAACTGGATCTGCACTCCCCTCCCCCCAGACAAGCTTGCAGTGGCAGGGTTTTTACTCATATTTAAAGCCCAAGACATCCACAAATTGACAAACACAACTGAATCCAAAACATCAACCGATACCCTCCCCCACAACTGAACCTAGGGCCCATGCCGAGCCCAGTATGGGTCACAGTGAATTCCTAAAGTTGTGGACTACCTATTACCTTTAACTAAGTAGAATTGTGAATCTTCTGTTTATTGCTTGTTCTTGTGGCTGTAATGCCAATGCATTTATCATATAAAGTATCATGTAATTTACAAAATATGTTTATGAATCTGAAGGCCAGTGAACATGCACTAAATTATTCCAAAGAATGTCTCTATCAGTTATATTTTCTGCTTTTTTTGCAAAACTCTCAAAAGCAGTCAGTCACAGTTAATGAAAATACTGCTCTATAAAATTATAATACCCTTATGTTTTCTACTTTCGCTGCTCTGAACACTAATATATGGCGAACCTTGATACAAACCTCTGTTGTCTCTGAGCGTAAAATTTGGATTGTGAACAATTTCAGGTGGCAAACTGAAGATAAATCTTGGTCCATTGGCTGCATCATCCTTGTCATCAGCAGTAATTGTAATAAATGGCTGTAAAAGAAAGATAGCTTGTAAACAAATATGCCTTTGTTTGGTACATAATATATTGCATTCAAATATGTTTTTTTTTCAATATTGTTAATTTTGAGAGCCAAAGGGAAAAGAAAGAAAAAAACATCATTTATTCTCATAAATATACAATGGGTATAAAGCTCAAACAGACAACTATTTCTGTTACTATATTTAGTCAATGCAAATGTTTATATATATATACATACACACACACACACATATATATACATATATATTGAGCTCAAATGTGGGCAGGTCTGAGGAAACAGCATAACCTCATTCTCCCACCCTCCCCCAAACTGGAAACATATAGACAACAAAAGTAGTGTTAATAAAATAATTGATACTCCTAATTTGAGGTAATCCTTTGCACAAGCTACTCCTAGCAGTAGAAATAATCTGCACTAGGATAATACATACACAGGGTATGAATGGATACATTTGTGGGCTACACCTTGTAAGCACCACTCTATGCTTCCTGTCATAGAAAACAGAGTGTCTCTCCAATATTTGACGTGTGCCCATGATTGCAAAAACTAACTTCTACCCTTGCTTCTACTGTAAGTTTGCTGGTATACACCTGTGGCCATGGCCAGCCAAAACTCAAACCTTGAAATGTAGTGTGTGTGTATATGTGTGCACCCACACATTAATTTATTTCAATTTTGATGTCAAATACAAAGAAGTGCCTCTCTAGTTGCCCTAGGCACTTTTGCCCAAACTTAAAAATAGCAACCCAGCTTCCAACTTCCATACAAAACTGAGCTCCAACCCAGGAATAAAGAACTTCCCCTATTAGAGGAATGTAACAAACAGAGGATACCTGGTTGCTCTGAGCATTTTCACAAATAAATGCTTCATAGGTTGATGCAAATTTTGGAGCATTGTCATTGACATCAAGGACCTTAATTGCTACAGGAACTTTGACTTTCTGATATTCTTTGTCTATAAGAATAAGTGAAAAACAAAACAAAATGGAGACAAAACAAAGCTGTAATATTTTTATTAAAGTTAAAAAAAGAAACAACCAAAAACAAATTATTCCTGTTTTTTATTATTCCAGCTGTTATACCCCACATAAACAATGTGAGGAGTATAGTATTTATATCACCGAGTTGAAATCCTCTGAGGAATACTTACGGACTTCATTTGCACAGACAGAGATGTTATGCCAAGCAATTTCTTCCCTATCCAGAGTTTTTATGGTCTTAATATAACCATCTTCTAGATTGATACTAAAATATCTTTCAAGGTCAGTGTGACGATCAATTGAATACCTTGAAGGAGATGAAAATTGGGTATTAGACAAAAGAATTACTTTGCAGCCTGATATTTCAGTGTTTGTTCAATGGTATATTTTCATATTATGTTAATATAGTTTTTCAGTAGCATGTTTACAAGATGGACATGTTAATGGAATTTATCAAGCAACTTTTTAATGGAAATATATGTCCATTATTTATTAATATCTATGTAGCAGAGGCATTTTGCATTCTCAAGTTCTTATATAGTATAGATAATAAAAGCATCTATTCTTTGAAGACCTTAAATGATAACCTTTGAAAAGTGTCTAAATTCCTGTAATTTGTATGGGGATATTTATATTTTCCACCTGTTCCATATTTATTTCTTTTAATTTTCAGAACACTTAGAGCATTATAGAATTTATCATTTCCTAGATTATTTAAAATTATTAATTGCTTTACTAAACGTCTCTTTATTCTTATACAACAATCTGTTTTACTATGGCTTTCAGACCTCCACTTTGCAACTATTTGGAGCATATGTTATGACAACAAAGCATTTTAAATAGCTTCATATCTTAGTTAATAGTAGCAAGATGACACCAGAAAAAACACACAGCAAATGCTACTTTATACCTCTCTCACTGTATGTGTATATATGTGTATGTACATATATGCAAAGACACATAGTGGTTGTCAAAAAAGTTAACAGTTGACAATAGTAACCACACTATTTCTATTCTAACTTTATTGAAAAATTTATGTCTTTGATAATATTGTAGTAAATATACCTTGTAAATAGTGACCAATGTGAGTTGGTATGCAGACAGACATAGCTATAACAAATTGTACATTAAATATGTCCTAAACATGAGAAAATGTGCAAAATGAATAGCTATGAAAAGATACATGCAAATAAAAGAAAATAATTGACTAGGTACCATTACATCATATTAACTAAAAAGTTACCTTGTTTATCTCCATATAAACAATAGGACTAGATTAATAAAGTGTACCTTATAGCATTATTTGCAGCATCAGGGTCTTTGGCATGTACTCTCCCAACAACAGCACCAGCTGCCGCGTTCTCTTGTACTTCAAGAATATAACTTGGTGCTAAAAATATGGGTGGCTCATCAGCATCCTCAACTGCTACCTTTACAGTTACAGTATCCTTGAATGGTCCATTGCTGATGAACTTAGGATCAATATGTACATTGGCTGCCTCTACCTTCAGGCTGTAGGACTTTTTGGTTTCAAAATCTAGGAGCTGTAAGAAATAAGAGGATGATGCATCAGTTGTACAGTGCCAACAACACTGAAATGTAAAAGCTAGTTCCTTAGATTGTGATAGCTAGTTCCTTAGATTGTGATAGCAGAATCCCTATAAACCAGATATGTGCATAGCACTTAATATGCAAAGACTCAAAAGTCTGAGGCCTTCAAAATGTGCTAAATACTCAAAGTGAGGCGCTACCCACTACAGCTACAGAAGAGAAAAAAACTCAACATACTGGGCCAGATTCCCTACCATGCCCTGTGCCTGTTGTACTGCTTAGGAAACCACCCACATCTCATCAGCTGGGGAGTCCTCCAGCAGCAGGGAGTCCCTGCTGCTACTCCAACTAGAGCCCCAACACAGAGAGCATGTTGGGGCAAGGAGCAGTAAGGAAGGGATGTGTCTGGAGCATGCTGCGCTCTGCCTATCCCCAGCTAGCAGGAAGTCCCTTGGGGACAGTTGGAAGGGGGCCTACTTTAGGGGAGGGGTGATCAATTATTTTTTGTCAAGGTCCAAATTTCTCAGTCAAGGTCCAGACTCAAGATAAAATAATATAATAATAATAATTAATAAGAAGAAGTAAATAAAAGGATTTTATGGTATGTTCAAAATCCCGCTTTGGCCCATGATCCACCTATTGACTATGCCTGCACTAGGGGCTGAATCAAAGATCCAGAACTGGCCCTTTTACTTGAGACATGCCTTCTATGTTCATACATTAAAGTCAGAGGATAGCATAGGAGGTGCTGTTGTGGCCCCACACCAGCTAGGAATTTCCTCACTGTGGAAGAATCCTCCAGAAGTTGGATGTGTCGGATTTATGGACACTGTGTGGTGGTGAGCTGGCACCCAATGGCCATAGCAAGGCTCAGGATCTGGCCCATATGAAGGAAAGAGAGGTTGATGTGAGTCATATGACATAGTGAATAAATTATGTGAGTTCAAATTGATGATTAGTATTGTAATAGAATTACACTTGTATTTGGCATAGTGTCTTTCTAACTCATCTACTGAACAACAACTTTTCAAAAAGTAAACAGGAAATAACAATTAATGAATAAATATTATACACACAATGGTGAGGAAAGTGTGAAGATTATTCTTTCAACTTCTATAGGTCTTCCATCCAAGGATTTCTGAGCACTTTAGCAATATGAAGGGAATAAGCCTCACCACAGCCTGTGAGGTAGGAATTATTCTCCATGTTTCAGATGACTGATCCTAACTATGGTGTACCTGCAATTTGTCACTGACAGAGAGATTGCAATGCTTCAGTATCGTAAGCCAGAATATGGTATGTCCTTAAATGTCTGAGAGACAGGTGCCAACTATGGCTATCAAACTATGCTAACAGCATAGAATGGACTGCAGGCAGTGATAACATACCAGCTACTGCAATAAAAGGAGTACAAACTCAGTTATTGAAGAACTATTAAAACAATGAGCAATCAAAAAACATCACAGCAGTGCAATAACTGCCAGTATTCTGAGCAGTGACTGCTTCACCATCTCAAAAGCAAAGAACCATCTCCAAGAAATAGATAGGGATAACCTTTACCAACAGACCAGGAGAAGATCTGCACCTCTCCCACATGTTCAAATCAAAGAACATGGATCCCACAAACAGAGGTTAAGACCCAAAATGGGAGAACCACATCAAAATGCACAGTATCCTCCTTAGAACATGGTGAATAGATCTTAACCAGCAGAGCGAGGAAGGATGGGCCCATGGTGCGGGTGCTAGTCTGTGATTTAAGAGAATCAGGGTCAATTCCCTGCTCTACTACAGACTTTCTGTGTGAACTTGTGCTAGTCTCTTAGCATTCTGTGTATCAGTTCCCTATCTGTAAAATGAGGACAGTTGTGTTACCACAGGGTGCTCTGGGGATAATACATGGAAGACTGTGAGACACTCAGATAGCATGGTAAAAGGGGCCGTATACGTATCTAATATGCTGCTTGTCAAAAAAACCTACAGTCTTTTTATCCAAATGACAAAGACTTAATTAGACTATCAGAAATGAGGTGATAATCAGATAAAAACCACAGAAGTTGTTTGAAAAAAAATTAGAATGGTTAATTCTGAAGAGATGTTATAATCAGAAAATGACAGATATACATGTTAGCTTATATACAGTCATCTATGAGGAAAAAAGGAAATGTACATTTGTACTAAAATGTTGTCAATGCACTTCCAACGATGTCATCTGATGTATTAGAAATATACTGCATAAGTTCTGCAGCATTTGAGATCATACATGAGAGCAGAGTAGAGAATAGGATTTCTATAAGGATGCTCACTTTTGAAAAAAGTAGCATACCAAGGTAATCAATATGTTCATATTCAGCTATCAGTATCAACCAATATTGTTATCCATATATTTAGTGACGTTAACTTTGTACCTCTCTCACTGTATGTGTATATATGTGTGTGTGTCTGTACATATATGTTTCATTATCTCAGTATGGACTATGGATATGCAAACACCCCTGACTGAGTCCTGCTTGACTGGGATCATAGAGAGACTCTTCAAGACTGGTAGGCCCAAAGCATGGGGTTAAATTCCATTAACTAGAAGGTTGGGTACAGGAATGGTGGGGAGAGGGATTTCAGATCTGCTTCCTCTCTGGCATTAGAAATAAAGTCACGCATCAGTCTTTATGGGCCTGATCCTTTGCTAAATGCTGAGCACCTCCTGTGAGGTGATGAGCACCCTCAACTTCCACTGAAGGTAGCAGGAGTTGAGAGCACTCAGCAAATCACAGGACTGTTCCTCACATCACAGGAGTGAGGCCTATACATTTTGTATTGGCTTGAGAGACAGGAAATTGTATACATAAATAAAACAGGGTGTTGATTTATTTGCGTTTTGTGTGTGTGTGCTTGTTTGTTTGATTACAGGTATGCACTTTGTGATGCAGTATTATGACAGTGTTGCTGTACTAGTGGTTAACTGATTTTCTAACAAGTGCATACTCTTGTTATAGCTGAGACTTTATTGTGCTGGCACTTCTGTGTCATGGCAATATTTACAAGAGCCCCTTCTCCCTGATCAATGTACCCATTTTGGGAAAAGTTCCAGGGTGAAGGAATGTTACTCAAGTCCCTCATGAAATTGACCTAGGATTGGGTCAGAGGTAAGAAATATTCTGTAGATAACTGCTCAATTCTTCCTACACAAAGCAGACATTTGGGGTTTGATCTAGCACAGCATAGGTGCACGGTGAAGAAAACAAAAGGTGAAAAGCAAAACAGGGAGTTCATGGAATATGATCCCCAACTAATGAGATGCTGCTTCTTGTCCCCCCACCCCCCGCTCCCAAGTAAAGTAGCAAAGTGCCTCATGAACGCAGAGGATCACACTTAAGCCCATATCGCCTCAAAAATGCCCATTGTCCACACACACCACACCCCAATTTTACCCTTTGTTTTGAGAATAAAAGAGTGAGTAAATAAGGGACTTCAGACTTCATACCCTAGAGTGAAGAGGAATGTGCGTGGTATTTACCAGTATTGTTGAAGCCATGTAGGTTCCAGGACATTAGAGAGACAAGGTGGGTGAGAGTAATATCTTTTGTTGGACCAACTTCTGTTGGTGAGCGAGAGAGGCTTTCGAGCTTACACAGAGCTCTGACCTGAAGAAGAGCTCTGTGTAAGGTCAAAAGCTTGTCACTCTCACCAACAGAAGTTGGTCCAATAAAAGACGTTACCTCACCCACCTTGTGTCCTTAGTGTTTAGCCTCACTTGTGCACGTGCACAGTCTCCTCTTACCCATGTGTTGGAGGAGAGCAATGATGCCATGGTCCATATTTGAGACCTCACTCTCATTGGTAATGTAGTGGGCACAGAAAATGACCTGGGGTTATCTAGGTATAAATTAAAACTACAGGGAGTGTTTGCTAGGTTTGGGTGTTGTGCAAGGATTTGTTACTAATGAAGTTGAGGCTGTTGCATTTCATCATGACTTGCTATCAGGTGTTCATTGTTCTATGTGCAGTGGCATCAGCAATGTAATACAAGGAAACTGTTTTTGAATTGTGGGCACAAGCCATTTGAAATTATCTTAGCTAGTCAAATGGCAGAATCCCTTGATGGGAATATAACATTTTTCTATTTGACTTTCTATTCTTACTTGCATACCACTTTATCCTTTTCTTTCTATCTAGGTAGAATGAGAGGGAAGCAATATTGATATTTTAAATGATTTCTTTTAACAGAAATACAGGCAAATCCTTGATACTTTGCACATTATCTTAAAATTCTTATGACACTACCAACTTGAAAATGAATGCTTGATTAAAACAACTAAAGCAATCCCATCATTTATTTCTGCAGTAATTCTCAGTATGCTTTGAAGAGTGAAAGGTGTTGATTTCTCAAGTGGTAGATCAGTACAGAATGCTGTTAAAGAATATATAATAATTTCTTCACTTTATATTAATAAACCCACTATAGAGGTTTTTTGTAGTACTGCTTTCCATTCAGTTACTTCTTTCCATTTTGGCTCTAGGCATTATCAGAGAACAGTAAAATGGGAGCTCAGAGTTAATCACAGCTTCATAACCAAAATTATATACAATTGCATTTACCGTAATTTTAACATGAACAGTAATCTATTGACAGGTTTCAGAGTAACAGCCGTGTTAGTCTGTATTCGCAAAAAGAAAAGGAGTACTTGTGGCACCTTAGAGACTAACCAATTTATTTGAGCATGAGCTTTCGTGAGCTGTAGCTCACGAAAGCTCATGCTCAAATAAATTGGTTAGTCTCTAAGGTGCCACAAGTACTCCTTTTCTTTTTATTATATACACAGAGACCATGAAACAATACCTCCTCCCACCCCACTCTTCTGCTGGTAATAGCTTATCTAAAGTGATCGCTCTCCTTACAATGTGTATGATAATCAAGTTGGGCCATTTCCAGCACAAATCCAGGTTTTCTACCCCCCTCACCCCCATACACACACAAACTCACTCTCCTGCTGGTAATAGCTCATCCAAAGTGACCACTCTCCCTACAATGTGCATGATAATCAAGGTGGGCCATTTCCAGCACAAATCCAGGTTTTCTCACCACCCCTCCACCCCCATACACACACAAACTCACTCTCCTGCTGGTAATAGCTCATCCAAAGTGACCACTCTCCCTACAATGTGCATGATAATCAAGGTGGGCCATTTCCAGCACAAATCCAGGTTTTCTACCCCCCTCACCCCCATACACACACAAACTCACTCTCCTGCTGGTAATAGCTCATCCAAAGTGACCACTCTCCCTACAATGTGCATGATAATCAAGGTGGGCCATTTCCAGCACAAATCCAGGTTTTCTCACCACCCCTCCACCCCCATACACACACAAACTCACTCTCCTGCTGGTAATAGCTCATCCAAACTGACCACTCTCCTTACAATGTGTATGATAATCAAGGTGGGCCATTTCCAGCATAAATCCAAGTTTAACCAGAACGTCTGGGGGGGAGTAGGAAAAAACAAGGGGAAATAGGCTACCTTGCATAATGACTTAGCCACTCCCAGTCTCTATTTAAGCCTAAATTAATAGTATCCAATTTGCAAATGAATTCCAATTCAGCAGTTTCTCGCTGGAATCTGGATTTGAAGTTTTTTTGTTGTAAGATAGCGACCTTCATGTCTGTGATTGCGTGACCAGAGAGATTGCGTGACCAGAGAGATTGAAGTGTTCTCCGACTGGTTTATGAATGTTATAATTCTTGACATCTGATTTGTGTCCATTTATTCTTTTACATAGAGAAATCTATTGAGTATCTAGATAATCTATTGGTATTGTATCTTCTGTGATAAAGAAAATGAAGTATGTTGTGTATATTAATAGGCTTGAAAGGACAGGAGTGCTCACCTTCTTAAGCTTCACAACACCTTCCTGAGTCTCATAATCTGTTGTAATTTCAAACATTTCCACACCATCTCCATCAATGATGCTGTAAGTCACTAAGCCATTTTCTCCAATATCTGGATCTTTGGCCTTCAGTCGTCCTACTTCTTCTCCTGGAATGGATGCTTCTGATATTGACATCTGGTACACACCTAGGCAAAAAGCATTCAGTTGTAATTACACAGTTTACTTCTTAAAGTATTTGTATTATTACCTGTTTCATTTATACATGTAAAAATAGCAGAGCAAATTTTTAAACTTTCAAATTATCCACATGCAGTAATGGAGTTATCCATAGAAGGAATGGTTATATTATAAAGGTCTAGGTTACTTTGAGATTGAGGTCGTTAGTGAAATCTGCGGTCATGTTGCTAATCTGTATAAAATTACCTTCCCAATTACTACCTTCACCTCTAGTGTGCTAGCAGGAGTTAAAAGGACAACTGATCATACAATCAGAATGCAAAATTATTGTGACATCAAGGTTATAATTCATACTGGAGATGTTATTACAAAAATCTAGAGAAAATTACATTTCAAATGATTCATGGTATGAACTTCAACTGCGACAAGCCTAGGAGGGTAACTGCCATTCATTCAAAAGCCACAAATTATAGAATAGGAACTGGATAAAATCTAACTGCTGTGGCACTTAAAAGAATAAATCTGCTGCTTTCCATGGTTCTCACTTGGAACATGAAATTGCATTCACTGCAAAGTAGTGAAATTTAGCACAATTCAGTACACGCCCGACTATGTGGGGCCCTTATCAATAAGGATAAGTGCAGGGTCCTGCACTTAGGACGGAAGAACCCAATGCACAGCTACAGACTAGGGACCGAATGGCTAGGCAGCAGTTCTGCGGAAAAGGACCTAGGGGTGACAGTGGACGAGAAGCTGGATATGAGTCAGCAGTGTGCCCTTGTTGCCAAGAAGGCCAATGGCATTTTGGGATGTATAAGTAGGGGCATAGCGAGCAGATCGAGGGACGTGATCGTTCCCCTCTATTCGACATTGGTGAGGCCTCATCTGGAGTACTGTGTCCAGTTTTGGGCCCCACACTTCAAGAAGGATGTGGATAAATTGGAGAGAGTCCAGCGAAGGGCAACAAAAATGATTAGGGGTCTGGAACACATGAGTTATGAGGAGAGGCTGAGGGAGCTGGGATTGTTCAGCCTGCAGAAGAGAAGAATGAGGGGGGGATTTGATAGCTGCTTTCAACTACCTGAAAGGGGGTTCCAAAGAGGATGGCTCTAGACTGTTCTCAATGGTATCAGATGACAGAACGAGGAGTAATGGTCTCAAGCTGCAGTGGGGGAGGTTTAGATTGGATATTGGGAAAAACTTTTTCACTAAGAGGGTGGTGAAACACTGGAATGCGTTACCTAGGGAGGTGGTAGAATCTCCTTCCTTAGAGGTTTTTAAGGTCAGGCTTGACAAAGCCCTGGCTGGGATGATTTAACTGGGAATTGGTCCTGCTTCGAGCAGGGGGTTGGACTAGATGACCTTCTGGGGTCCCTTCCAACCCTTATATTCTATGATTCTATGATTCTAAGTACAGATCCATAGAGGGGAGAATAACAGGAAAATTCCCACCCTAACTCAGGGACTATCCCCTCTATGGGTCCCAGTGCCACAAATGGCTGGAAAGGGTGAGGATGGTGCAGCGTAAGCAATGCTCCTGTGCACCAGGAGGCTCCAAGCAATATCCTGTCTCCTGAGGCACAGTCCTCCTGCAGCTTCTTACACAATGCAAATCTCTGGGTGCCTTCCAACGCAAGCCAGAGTTTAAATAACATAGCCTGCCCCTAAATACCGATTAACAACTTTGGAATTCTTTACATTACCGATAGTATGAACAAACCCAGGAAAGCATACAGCCAGCAAGATAAAATATAATGGGGTAAATCTAACTCCCACCCTCAAATATCATTTGAGGAACATCAGTGGAGGTATACCAGGTGTGGACTTGCTTCAGTCATTGTAAGCACAATAGCATATATGATAGAAATGAAACACTAACTCCAGTCACAAACAAGCCTAAATTAAAGCAGGTTTCACAATAACAGTTCAATCTATTGACAGAAGGTCACTTGGACCTCAAATGGATGCAATGTGTTAAACTGTTAGACTTCTGCAAATCTAACATCTTTCTTTTCTTACTGGACAAGTGAAACTTTTTTTTTTTAAATACAATTCAGCGCAGTTTGTCCTACATGGTAGAAAATCCCCTCCAGGATAGGGGTAATTTTAAGGCTCCATGCCTGGGCTTCCATCCAGCTCCAAAGTTTGAATGAGCTAAAATAAACAACTAAATAAGATGAAAATATATCTGAAAACCAAATAGCTACCCTGGCAACTAAAAACTAACGCACTTTACTTGTAGTAACTAGCATTATTTGTCACCAATCAGAAAATTTAATTGAGCTAAATTTTATTTGATCTGCCACCTGTGAATATAACTATTCACAAGGGAGTAAAGGTACAATCCTACAATCTTTAGCTACGTGAACAGTCCTGACTTCAGTAGGACTATACATACAAATGAAGGATGCAGCATCAGGCCCTAAAATTGAAAGAATACATGAAATAGAAAGTGAAAGTGATCCTCACTCAGCTCCAGGGCTGTCAAAGAGCTGAAAGAGCATACCCATGAGTTGTTAGCAGGATGTGCAGTGCTCTTTCATCTGTGGCCAAGGAAAGCACCTCTTGCCTGACAAATACCTTAAACAGCGTAGGATGCAGCTGAGGTAAAAAGATCAAATAGATCATCTGCCATTCACCCATATTTATCAATAGACAGAAGTGGACTTGCACAGTTAGAAATGACTATCATAAACTACAACTTGGAAATAGCTATGAATAGAGAGAACTGTATAAGGGAAAGCCACATTGGCTCTTCTTTAGAACAGTGTTAGTCTCACTGCAAGAGCCTACAAGTGGGTGTAGACCAAGGTACTGTGGAAACCCCATATATATTGTACATCTCCAAAAACAGAATAAACTGCTGACACACAGTGGAGGTGAGAATTTGAAGATCTGTTCTTGTAACTCCTCCTGGTTCTCCATCAGATTTTTGACAGACTCTCAAAGATTTTTTTTCTGGTAATGTTGTTATAGTCTGAACAGAATGTGAAACGGAGCTTGCTTTTTCTGAGCAGGCTTTTGTACATCTGCAGTGTTAAAAATTCAAGCTGGAAAACACTTATTAAGTAATCTTAATCCATCATTGCCGCAGTGCAAGTCTTTCCCCTAAAATATATTTTCAAGGACTTTCTCCAGCCTAGTTTTAACTGTCTCAATTACAGGGACTTCACTTCCATAAAAGTCTAGACAACATCACATTGATCTCACCATAGGTACGTTTATAATTCAACATGGTTAGATGGTTTTCAAAATGAAGCGTGGTGCCAGGAATCCCCTGGCTTCTAATCCTGGCTCTGAAAATGACTCACTCTGTAGCACTGGACAAAACATTTAAGGACTCTGCAGAAAATAATACTTACCTATCTCACATTTCTGATGTGGTACTCCATTAGTTACTATTTCTTTGAATATACAAGGCACTACATAAGTGTTAAGTATAATTAGTAGTAACCGTTATGTATTAAGGGACTTGTCACTTACTCTGTGGGAACTTTGGTGGGTTGTCATTGACATCAGTAAGTGTAATTGTCACTTTGGTTGTCCCTGAGAGTCCTCCCATGTGTCCTCCCATATCTTTTGCCTGTATTACAACATGATATTCTTCCTTAGCTTCTCTGTCCATGTTGGGAAGAGCAGTTCTAATAATACCTGTACATTCAAGCAAAAATGTCACACAAATATTTTTAGTCATGCAAAACTGGTACCTGCATATTATACAGTGTATTTAAGATGAATCACACATGCTGCATAGAGCAACAATGGCCCAGCGTCTCCCTTGGGTTCTAGCCACTATGCACCAAACCATGCAGGGAAAGCAGCCCTGAAAGCAACACAGCTGACCACAGGGTAATTCTTTAGCAGCATAGAGCCTGCATTTCAGCTTCTACACCATCTCTCTGCAACTCATAGAGTTGCAACTCACAGAGGGGAATAGTCCTGTCTCAGGGATACCTCTCTTAAATGCTAATACATGCCACAGGACCACCCTACTGAACCGCTCGGGCAGAGGAAGGAGAGAATGAAGGTGACTTAGAGCTATTTGTACGCACACCCCAAGATGAACTGCATTGCCCCATAGCTGCTACTGAGGATCTGGGCCAAAATATTTAGTTATTCATATTAATGTACTCAAAAAAGTGATGGTGTTCCAAACAAATAAGCCTGGCTCAGTCATACCTGTTTGTGCTTCCACGGAAAAGTACGGCTGACCTTCAAGAATACTGTAAACCAGTTTGGCACTGTTCCCATAGGTAGGATCATCAGCATCCGAAGCGGTTACCTGAATAACTGATGTACCTAAAAAAGTAGAGAAAGGATGTTTAAAAAGCAAATGTGTTTGCTAAAGCCACAGAGGTGCTTTCAGTCAAACCACAGAGAAGCCTGTTTTATGTGACTTTTTCCACTCCAAAAAAACAAAACAAAAACATTTCACCAATTACAGAGATCTACTTTAGCAATTTGTGCTTTAGAAAATACAAGCCCTAGGAAGTCACCAATAATGACAGTGATTATGGGTCATCTCCATCCAATAAATTATACAGCCTAATATACATTATACTACTTGGGCATTATACAGCCACCCAAGACTACCTCCTTCATCTGTGTACTTGTGGAGCTACGCTCTCCACAAGGACACTTACAGAAATGCTGCTTGTAGTGATCCCCAAGGCAGGGGTGAGCTCTTCTCTGGCTGGCTGCTTTCAACCAGGGGGAAATGTAAAGTGGCACTGTGCTCTAGCTTACAGCTACATTACATAGCTCAGCCAAGATGAAGAGTACTATACGCCCTGTAAATCACTGCACATCTTGCGCCACAAACCTTGGTTTGACCCCTCTCAATTAGGGGAACCCTCCCCACTCCTCGACCCGCATACAGGCTTGCAGAGATTCTACAACCATCATTCTTGTAGCATTGCCAACTCTCATGATTTTATCTCAAGTGATTTCAGAGGGGTTTGGAGCTCGTCTGGTGATGCTCCAACCCATTCCAGAAGTTCAGCCCTTCTGGAAGCCGGCAGAGTCTCTCATCTGGGCTCACCATGCTCAGAGGGGAGGTGGGGGGGCAGAGGGAGCAAAGAGCCCAGCAGCTCTGTGTGGCTCAACTGTCTTCTCCCTTTCCCCTCCTGTGAGAAACACAGACAGGACGGTGTTTCTTCTCCTCCCCCCTGCAAAATCCAGCCTAGGAATGGGCAGAGGGGTGTGAAGAGCCCCCTGGTGCCCCCCCCACCCAAGTCTGGGAAAAGGGAGATAAGAGGGGACGCTGCTGCTGCCCACCAGGCCTGGACATGTGTGAAGAACCCTGTGAGGAGCAGAGGTGAGGCTGGGAGTGCTGAACTGGGGTGTGGGGGCTACAGGGTGCTGCCAGGTTCGGGGAAGGGGAGAAGCCTGGGGGCTGTGGGAAGGAAGAATAATTAAAATAAAATGAATTATTTTTAGCTTTTTGAACTACTAATTAGAAGAGATTTTTTAAAAATAAATGTTTTGTGATTGTGGGATATTGTATTTACTTACTTAGTTATTGAATTATACAAAGAAAGAACAATGATTTACAGTTATTTTTGACATATTTTGAATATAATTGTATTGATTATTTAAAAAAATAGTTTGGGCCTAAACATAATTACTGCACTGAAAGACAGAAAGCTCTGAAAGCTGGTTGATGTTGTAATGGTATTCTTGCATGTACACGTTTGCAGCTCACATAAATCTTTACTGAAAAATAACTGGAAAACTTGATACATAGAGGGAGTGATGTGTGTGATGAGGCTGTTCATTTCTCAGCTCCATTTTATAGGCCTTCTACAGTATGCTTCTAAATATGTGTGATTTAGGGTTTTTACCATCATATTTTAATTTTATCACACCATGGAGCTCTTCACTGAGCGTTATCTCGGGTATAATCACTTAATACAAGTACTCCCTGTTTTTCCAACCAGGAGGGATGCCTTCTCTCGGCCCCAGCCCTCCATTTTTGAAGGGATACTTTTGAAATACCAATAACAGAAGCATCACAAAATTATATTGAAATGAGTCTTTGCTTAGCACTAGCCCCCACCCCCCAAAAACCCACCAAAAATACCACTCTGCATCTTCTCTATTCTAATTCTCCTTCAATATGCATACACTGCATCTGCATTTGAGCTGCCATAGAAAGATATGTGTGCATTAAAAGGTTGACTTTTCAATCTGAAATTATCACACACACATTTCCAGAAGAGTAGAGACAGTGTTAAAAAATCAAAAGACAGATTAAAATACATGGTTTGATGGTGGTTTTTAAATCTCATGATTTCTGAGGCCAGTCTCATGATTGTGAGGCGGTCTGACTCAAGATTTTTGATCTCTTGTGGTTGGCAATACTGGATTTGCTGTAGCAGAGTTTGAATCCTTCAGCTAATTAGAGCAAATGACAGAGGATATTTCATTGATTAATAGAGGAACTGAATACATTTTACCTTCCGGACATTGGGAAGATGTTAATTAGATTTACCTAAGATTCACTGTCAATGTAAAAAGAAAAGGAGTACTTGTGGCACCTTAGAGACTAACCAATTTATTTGAGCATGAGCTTTCGTGAGCTACAGCTCACTTCATCGGATGCATGCCGTGGAAACTGCAGCAGACTTTATTTATACACAGAGAATATGAAAAAATACCTCCTCCCACCCCACTGTCCTGCTGGTAATAGCTTATCTAAAGTGATCATCAGGTGGGCCATTTCCAGCACAAATCCAGGTTTTCTCACCCTCCACCCCCCCACACAAATTCACTCTCCTGCTGGTGATAGCCCAGCAGGACAGTGGGGTGGGAGGAGGTATTTTTTCATATTCTCTGTGTATAAATAAAGTCTGCTGCAGTTTCCACGGCATGCATCCGATGAAGTGAGCTGTAGCTCACGAAAGCTCATGCTCAAATAAATTGGTTAGTCTCTAAGGTGCCACAAGTACTCCTTTTCTTTTTGCGAATACAGACTAACACGGCTGTTACTCTGAAAACTGTCAATGTAATTTACTCCAAAAAAAATGTAAACTGGCATGCATTTATCTGTACCTACCCACGTTGGACCTCTCTGGCACATTTGCATGATAGTTTTCATGTAGGAACTCAGGTGGGTTGTCATTTATATCTTGAACTTTCACAATGAATTCAGAGGGTGGTTCCAAAGGTCTGTTCGTGTTTCTGTCTACAGCTTGTGCCGTTAAAATATACTGAGCTCTCTCTTCTCGGTCCAGTGTCTTTGTTGCATGGATGTTCCCTGATTTGTCATCAATAACAAAAATGATTCCTGCGCCTTCACCTGAGAGAATGTATTTAATGTTTCCATCTCCAGAATCGATATCTGAATGAAGCTACAAAATGATAAACATACATATTGTAACAAACCAATATACACTATGTATTTCCAGCCACTAAAATAATAATTGAATTACTGTGCATTACTGTCTAGCCACTGCTGACTCAACTTTCTTAACTTTCATAACTAATGCAGACTTCAATTTAATAAGATAGGTGCACAAGGGACCAGATTTTCTTTTGCTTACATGTGTCTAACTTTCATTTAACTCAAGAAACTGATGACAGAATTTGGCTCACTGAGTCTGACTCTCCACTCTATTACACCGTTCTTAACCCAAAATAACCTAAAATAACCTAACTGACTTTGGAGGAGGTAAAATAAGTGTAACAGGGGAGAGTCAGGCCCAGAATATCTAATGCAGTCTAACATATTTAATCTTACTGAGTAATATCTTAAAATCTAGATGTACAATTAGAGTACGTGTTCACTGCAGCTGGGAGCTGTAACCCCAGAGCAGATAGACAGACTTGCATTAGCTCTCCTCTAATGATAGCAGCATGGCCATGTGGCACAGACGGTGGTTCACGCTAGCCGCCCAAGTCCAAGCCTGCCAGCCCAAGCTGCTGCTTGTGCCACACGGCTATTTTTACTGAGCTAGTGCTAGTCCGTCTAACTGCCCTGAGATTGACATCTCCCAGCTGCCTTGTAGACATACACTTAGGTTCTTTTTTCCTTTGGTGTATCAGGTCAAATCTGTTTTTAACTTTTACACAGGTTGGTATTTTCTAGGCTATCCTTACAACAGTGAGAGCTATGCTCTAATGACTGGACACCAAAATTAAGAATGGTATGATGATTTACTGGAACACAGTGGCCAGTTTGGGGATCAGGCTTGTTGTGCAAATGATCCTTTTGGTCCTAGTAGAGAAGGTTTCAATCTACTGCTCTCAGGCCACAAGTCAAAGTGTACTGAAGTCAATGGAAAATCTCTCCTTGATTTCAATACACTTTGGATCAGATTCTTATTGAGCTACAGATGAAATGATTAATACCAGAAGTTTCAGAGGGTGCTGATTAGGCAGCTGGTATGAAAGAAAAGTACTGGAGGGAAAAAAAAGCAGCTCACACCGCAATGAGGCAGGAAATAGTAACTATTAAAATACGAACGAAAATGTAGAATACATTTCTTACCTTGCCAACTAGTACAGGATCTGGTCCTGTGTACTCTTCTATTACAAAGAACTGATTCCACACCCAGCCTCTTTTTGAACGATGCAGAACTTGCCCTTCTTTTCCTTTTTCATGGTGACCATGGAGTGACGGCCTTAAATGGTTGAGTGTTTCTGTAGACATGGCATGGCTGTAATATAGCATGCCCAGGCATATAAGAGCAGCATGTAAACAACTGTCCTCCTTCATTTTTGGTTAATTTATAGGCACAGGAGTATTCAAGAATCTCCTCCTTCCACCCAGGGCCACCTTGGAAGTAAGAACCTCGGAGCTAATGGAAATTTTCAGATGTAATGTTCTGCATATAGGATGCCACTGCTCATTAAGTGCATCACTTTAATGCTCTGCAGGTTCTCAGCTTAATTGCTGAAAGAAAGAGGAGTGGAGAAAAGTGTCAGTCTTTCCCCTGTCTTTGAGAAGTGACAATTATAAGCCAACTGTAATTTCTAAAATGAAACTAGTACCAACATAGCACAGGGGTAATACCCATTGTCCACTGAAAGAATATAACAGCCATCAAAAACTAATGATTCAGTAGGAAAATAATACTTTGATATAATTACCACCAACTATGAATATTCTAAATAAGGTTTTTCTTTTCTGGTGCTTTTCCAGTAAAACTCCTTGCTTTTTTACTCAAGAGTCTGTCAGTTATAATTTCCCCCTTCTCTTAATTCAGGAGACAATGATGCACATATAGATCACAGATTGCATTCAGTACTCTAATAAAATATTGTCAGTGAGTGCTTAGAAGCATTCCCAAACTTCAGTGCTTCCCTTATCACTCCTGTCTCCACCAACCTTCATCATGAATGAGTAAAAATACCTACAGACTCTTTGATAATGTGATCTTTGGCAGTAGCACCCATTCCAGGTGTCTCTAAGGGTACGTCTACAATGTCATAAAAGACCCATGGCTGCAAATGGCCCTGGTCCACTGACTCAGGCTTAGGCTGCCAGCTAAAAATTGCAGTGTAGACATTCGGGTTCAGGCTGGAACCCAGGCTCTGGAACCCCATGAGAGTGGTGAGTCTCAAAGCCCAATCTTTAGCCTAATCCTGAATGGCTAGAATGCCATGCTTAGCCCCACAATCCGAAGTTAATTGACCCGGGCTCTGAGATGCAGTGCACAGGTTTTTATTTTATTGCAATATATACATACCCCTAAGTTTTAGTTGTTCAAATGACATTGCCTCTTTCTTTATATCTGATCACTTCTATGTGTAATAGGTCAGGGTCAAAGTTTGACCATAAGATTGTCTAATACAGTGAAACCTGAACTAAGGACTACACTTCCTGTACTAACAACCTATCTTAAAGTACCCCTTGGATATACCCCTGGGGCTTCCCATACAATGTTTTTCTGCCTTTATTTAAAGAACATCTGTACTCTGTGGTGCTGGAACAATTTGTACAGTGGGGGTGCTGAGAGCCATTGAACCAAACTGTAAACCCTGTGTATGATGGACACCAGCAGCCCTAGTTCCAGCACCTATACCTGTACCGAGCAACCAACTTTTACTGTTCCTGGAATGTTTATTTTAGGATTCTCAGTAATTCACTTTGTATCTGCTACAGAATACTAACAAAATACTAACTTAAGGCTATATTCTTTCTCTCACACACACACAATGTTCTGTGTTAGTTAAGGATTCTCTATAATAATACATGTAACACAGAAAGACAAGGAACTGAAAAGTTAATGCTGCCCACACTCTACTCCTTCACCCAGAGACACTCAGCTCACTATTAGCACAGCCACACCACAGAGCATGCACTCCAGTCTTAACTCTCTCCCAGTAGAAATGCCACACATTTATCATCCCCTTCCCCAAATTCTATTTAGACCCTCCCTACCACTGTACTCTTTGCACAGTTCTGTTCAAAAGCATACATTCAAGTTTGTGATAAACATTTGGGGGCAGACACACTGTGTTTTTCATATAAAACAAAGACGTTGATCTTCCATTTTTAGTGTAAACCAGAAACAATCTTAACTATGACATGGCAATGGCTCCAGCCTAATTTATTTAATGAGGATTATGCATATATTTGAGAACAATCTGGCACAGAAGAATTTCACTTTTTTTTCTCAGGCATATTTAATAAGACCATTTAAAGTAACCATCTGAATTTTTTTCAATATTATTTTCTCTATGCTATATTATGAAAGAGTCATAAAAGGATGGGAGATAGGAAAGCCAAGAACACTATTCATCCTTTAAAGGAAAATCCCACAATTTGGCTCAGAAAAAATGATTTAAAATTTCAGAAATCTATATTAGGTATAAACTGTGCATTGTATCAAGGAACGACAGATTTAGTCAGAGCTGTCCTTTCTGAGCTTACTTATGTTTGCTGCCATTTTGCTGATAAGTGAAATTATTTTTGACACCAGAAGCGCTGGAGCCTGAAATAAGAGACTGAAAACTAGTTTTTATTCTATATTATTAGTGGTTTATTCATGAAAAAAAGTCACCATGGAACGATCTTTCTCTGATAATAACTCATTCTTAGAGAAAATGGAAACAGATTATTTCTCACTTTTGTGTAGAAAAGACAAACTGCAGCACCTATTACTTGATGATTACTAGCTAAGCGTCACTTCCATTTAAGTAAATACCCATTAAACGTAGCTCAAAGTTTAGAAATGTCATCTTAAATATGTAGCCAAATTCTTCTCCAGTTACACAGGTGTAAATCCAGAGTCACTCCAATCCACTCAGCGGAATGAATCTGGATTTACACCAGAGCTGAAAGCTGAATTTAACCCACAATGAGCAGGCTCTAAAGTCACCTCTGTAATGTTACAATGGGATATTTTTGTCTGCATTCATCTGTTTTGGGCGCAACCAAAACTCTAAATACTGTAGCTGGCTCAGCTTGTTGCATAACTGCATTCACTTAACCTAAAATATGGATGTGTTTCAGGAGCAGTTTCCTGTGGAGTGTCCTTTCAAATGAATGGAGCACCATGATGTGCAAGTTATAGCCAGTCATACTGGCCACGTACACTTGCTGGAAGCATGCTATTCTGAAGTGCAGCAGTTAATAGCACTGGCACATTTTTCTAATAAGGCCCCAACACTCCAATAAGATGAATGGAGACAGTTACCCGGTTTTGCTGCTGGTGCATTCTTTCCGCTTATTTTACAGTAGGCTTAGCAAGTGAACAGTTTGCAATAATAGAATCTCAAAACAAGTTTAAAAAGAAAAAAAACCCTGTATATTTGAATCCTGTTCTCCAGATCGTTAATTTCAAATCATGCCACCAACAATTAAAGTAAGTAAACAACCAAATATTCCATAATACCCAAAACATCATATAACTTTATTACCAGTATTGTTATGTAATTATCAGCAAAGGCTTTATACATGATGCTTTAAAATAATGGAACAGACATTCAGATACATACAAGTGTTTACTATCGGTTATTGAAGTGTGAAGCACTAGATACAAAACATTAACCACATAGCCGTACTTAATTTACTAATTAGGATTTAAAATGGTAATTGTCTCCAATCCTTTATTTTTAAACCTCTTTGCAAGAGGAATAGGGTTATGTATTCCTAATACAGAGGGAAGTATTATACCTACAAGGGGCTTTTTCTAAGAGCCCGATTCTGTAAACACACAATGGGACTGATCATAGTAGTATGGTCTTTGCACACTAGTAAGTAAGATCCAAACCTCTCTTAATAAGGAAAGTTAATAACTTTATATCAGACCCTTAGCTAGAGCAAATTGACACAGCAGCAGTGAAGTCCATGAAGTTACTCCGATTTAAATGAGCTATTTGGTGCTTTATTTATAAAGTGCTTCCTACCAGCCAAGGTGTATGAGATGCTGCTAAATTAAGGTATATCAACAAATATAACTAAAAATCAAGCTACAGTGGCATCTTTAAAAAGAAAGGAGACTTGCTTCCAAAACAATTAACTCACGCCATTTAAACCATTTAAAAGTAACTTCCAGGTTGAAAATAAACAGTTTATTTCTTCAACGGGCCAATATGGAAAAGCAGCTAAACAATTTATAAACCAATTATTGTCTTTTGGCCAACACCAGAGGAAAAATACCTCATCACTTCCCAAGCATGGCATGCAGATCTGGGAACTGAACTTGCAGCAGATGATTGGAATGTGGCTCTGGTTAATGTCCAGAAAGCCACAATTTGCAACAGATTGATTCAGATGCTGTGCTACATTCACATGTAGATAAAACTGTTAGAATAATTCATTGTGAATTTTGCCTTTCTTCAATCAACGATTAGTTGGGAATAACTGTTTTAAAATTATTATGATTATTCAACTAACTCTACACAAAGATTGTACCATTCTGAAACTATGGCAAACAATATGGATGGCCATCTATCCACATTGCCCCAAATACCATATCCTAATTTTTTCACTGTTGTTTGGAATTTCATAGTAAACAGTTTCTGATTTCAAAACCATGTATTTCCCTTAGAAATTACTAGAAATCCAACCCAATTCACCTTTTTTATACTTGAGTAGATACTGTAACAAGGTTTGGGACAAGATGGATCTAGGAGGAGATAGTAAATTTTAACTGCTAACAAGCAAATTCTGAGATTTTTTAGAGACTGAATGCTAGTCCCACCATAAACACATAGAAATAAGTATTAATCAGCTATCTCACATTATTAAATCAGAAAATAACCCTATGTCAACAAATGAACAGGTGTGGTTTGCTTTTACTTGAGATATAAAAGACAAAGTTCACTTAAAACTTGAAATAATATATATCCTGTATTGCAAATATGTAACACATAGTGAGGTCTCCCTGTGCCATGGAGAGGAGCACTTCTCTAAAGGGCACTTCTAGCTAAAAGGTCACCAAAAAAAAAAATCAGACCGAGTTGCACATACTCTGCTTTGCATGTGCAATATGGTTGGCAGATGTAAAAATGCAAATTAAAAGTGTACCTATAAAAATGGAGGCTGGGCTTCAAGCCTTTTGAAAATGCAAATAAAAATATACTTTATTAGAAATATCTTAAAACAAAGCTCTCTGTTGAGCTTATTAGGCACTGATCCTCCTTAAGCCCTGAGTCACATTCTACCAGTTCAATGTACTCCCCTGTGTACCACAGACTTACTCAATGGGCTGCTGCAAGGTTGGAATAGGGCTATGGTCCTTCTCCTTTTGGAGCAATGTGCTCCCCAGAATGCATGGATTGAGCAGTCCCTGTGCTCCCCAGAGCCCAGGATTGTAATTCTGATATGTTCTTGCAATGGGTGCTGAATGGAGAAGGGGTCTATTACTCTTTTCTCCTGATCATCCAGTTTAGGGTCTGTCCAAATGCTACCCCAATATTGCTCGTATCAATACCATTCTTAAA